GAGATGGTCGTTCCATTCTGGTGTTTAATAGTTTCACTCACAGGTGGTTTCCGGGGACCGGTCGCACGGATCAAATGAAATAATCTTCGGGTATTGCCTGCTTTCTGGGCCTCTTCCATTTGTTTGGCTTTCTGTTTCCACCATACTTCACGGTCGGATCCCAAACGCACTTTCACTTGACGTTTGATGGCCCTTCGCACCAGCTTATGTTCGGGACCGGCTGGGATATTTCTTCGAGATTTAAGTAGTGCCACCGTTCGGTCTGATATCCAGTGCTTGAGTGCGCCTGGATGGATCGTGCCACAGGCAAAATTCCCAGCACCATGCAAAGCGGTGGCAATCTCGTCCCAGTATGAGTTCACATCTGATGGTGGAGCACTTAGAAGAGACTCAAGAAGACGATTCTTGTAAGTTCGTCTGACATCCGCGTCTGCCAGTCTTTCAGTTGCCATGCCGTTTGTCCGCAGCTTCCGCGGCCCCGGGAAACGTACGGCGAAGAGACTCCGGACGAGCACGTGGTCAGAGTCCACAAATGTGTTCCAAAACGACCGACAGTCCGTTATGGGTCCGCGCCATCGGTAACTGATAGCAATGTGGTCGATTTGAGTTTCCGATGGGCACGACTTCTGCACAACTGCTAGAGCCTTAACTAATCAAAAGATTTCAGGGGTAGCTTTAATGCGGCCAATTACATACAGGTTGTCAGCATTCTGCTTGCCCCAAACGTAAAGCATATCAGTGAATCGTCTGTCAGAGAATATCGCCCCTGGAGGGTACAATAAGTTTGTGAAACACCAGCGTCCTGAACTACGAGCCTTTATAAAAGACGCGAAAATGCTTTACTGTGATTTACTTTAGTCTGGTACACGCGAGTCTTGAGGCTCAGTGATAAGCCTTTTTGACGTCACAAGTGAGGCAAATTTTTAAGTTTGATTTCGGCCTTTCAGATTCGTGCATTGACTTCATCATACACATCCGTCAAAGCAAATACAAATGCTGAGGTATATAGAAATTCTCAACAACCTCCAATGCTTCTCCTTGAATTACAAGGGGCACATTCGGAGATTTACGTTCTCAAGTATGACCTATAACTTTGAAGATGCAAAACACATGCTACCAGATGGTGATCAGCATTTGTACTTGAACTTTGTCCTGAAAGATGAGGGAGGTGTGGTCTGTGTATTCCAGATCGACAAGTTACCCACTAACAGCGATTTGAACACCTTGGCCTTGAAGACCTTTCAGCCTTGAACACAGGCTGTTTACGATATCAAGTACTGTTTTACCAAAACTGAAATTGTGCAAGAAGCAGGTTTTTCCCTTGAAAAACCGCTTGATGCAGCTCAGAGGCAACGGTAAATTCCTCGTAATTGTTCCAAAGAAAAAACTGCGTTCATAAAGTGAAATTAGTAACGGGCTGTTTTCTTCAGCAAGACTGCCCCTATGGTTTTACACAAATTTAAATTGTTTCCATTCATTTCAAGGTCCCGGTGTCATCGTGAATATAATACGGCCGGAGAATGAACATCTACTGTGCAGAATTTACGTATCCACTCGAAATGTGAGCTGTCATTTGATTTCAGTTGCACCATTGACTATTTCTGGCTGGTTGGGGAAGCAATCTGAGTATGACAGGAAACTCGGCTAACCAAAACAAGTACGCCGAGGTAGGCCGGAAAACTGAAATGAGTGTAGATTAGATCTGGAGACTGTGAAGTTTTAAGACGGGGACTGCGATTCACCCCACAGCGACTGATAGCCGAGGCGGTGGAAATCAGCCAGGATCACAAGATATCGAGGGTGTGGAACTGGTGGGCGCGCGGAAATTGGTCTTAGATAAGCCGAACTGACACGTGACTGTGCGTGGTTGTCAATGCATGTAGAGTCATTGGCAAAAACAGGTGGACGGAAACCCCAACCCGACCAAACTTAACAGAGTCCCTGTTCCCTATACAAACATCGTAGACTAGCTCATGATGTTCAAGATGACCCTCATGTGAACCAAACCGGAAGAACTAGACCCTAAACTGGACCCGAATCCATGTAGGTTTCCCCATCGGCTTAACACAAAATCCCTCGGTTGACACCTAACAAATATTTAGTTTGGCTTGGCTGGTTAGTTTCCCTTTCGCCTGAAATCTCGATCAACCTCGTAACCTGGTCACTTGGCCTGACAAAGTTTTTGTGTCAAAAGCGAAACTTTGTCCAGCAATAAATCTACCAACTGTTACCAAATTTTTCCGAAAACGAGTGTGGGTTTTCTTATTGAAACAGTGACAAACTTGGAAGCACCGATGTTTTCGGAGAATACTTTCCAACCGCTAGCAGCAGTGCAGCTGTGAAAGACCCATGCAGTCATTAGAAATCCATGGCCCTGCACGGTCTACATCACCCATCGTGCGTGGATTTCATTATTACGGTTTAGTCCATATTCAGAGACCGTCATGAAGACATAATTACTGGTTGAATGCAACGACACATTCGACTATCAAGCAACTGCGGTTCCTCATGAAAAATCTTCGACGATAAAACTATTGCATTAAGATTCCAGATGTAGTCTGCCTCCAACACGAACGGCCGAACACAAGTGTGTTTTACCCCATTTTTTTCTGAAACAGCTGTCGACTGGAAATCCTCATTTCGTAACTTGATTCTTTGCAGAACTGCATTGCGGTCAGAAGTAGAGGCGGTTAACGGTAAATTTGACCGCTCTCCTCGTGCTAACGATGCAAAATGTATACAGGATACCCTAAACCTTCGACTAGAATTACGGTGTTCCAGGAGTACCGGCATATGTCAGAATTCTATTTAGAAAAATATAACACCCTCCGTGTAAAACAGGGTGGCAACTGGGATCAGAAAATAAGTAAGCGCTCTCTCTTTGTGTCTGTACAATCTAAGAGGGAATTTTGAACACAATAAAAGCAGATAAGACAGTTCAAAGCTACTACAAGTCATGACCCATGGATATGCACAAGTCTAAATGTTCGTTGATTTCAGAAAATGTAACGGAAACAGAACAAACAGGACAGAATACTGGCTGGTCTGGGTTTGCAGTGTTTGGATTCGAAAGCATGGAGTTAATGGGGGACGGTGCACGTGACTGAGGGGGCTTCGAGGTAGTGGTTGAATCCAGAAGAACACTGAACCCCGGCGCTCTGTTGCCACCCAAGATATGACCTCTATCAGGTTCAGGCCACCGGTACTTTGGAGAGTTAGGTGAATGCCTGTCAGAGGATGAGAGCTTTTGAGATGCCGCACTTCCAACGGCGACTTCATTCTTCGAACCTGAGGGTTCTCCGGTGGACACTGTGAGAAAGGTGCGAATATCGGAGTGGGGTTTCTTTGCTGTGTACAGTAAGAAGGAATGGAAACCATGTGGGAATGGGAGCAAAATAAGTGAAAACATGCTACGTGTACACAGGAAATGAGGACACTCTTATTAGAGCAGTGTGAGGTTTTCCTGGAAAATTTTCATCTCCTATGAGCGCACACACGTCTAGCAGGGATAATCGGTAGTCAGACAGATATCACGTATTAGGATTTAAGAAGTTATACATCGTCGGTCGACTGCATAAAGGTAGCGTAGCAAACGATACAGTGTGGGGTGAAATTTCGATTATGCCCTCCTATTGTATGGAAATTACAGTCCAAGCACAACATTAATTTGTGTGCTTAGAATCTGCACTTGCAAGCCAGGTCACATCATTGGCAACTTCATTTGACAATGAAAAAAATACGTTAAGCTCAACTGGCACGGTTAAAGGGGGCAAGCCTCGGACTAACAATGCGAAAGAAGAATGGTAATCAAAGAACTAAGGACTGTGTTACAACATTTCCTGCCCGTTGGTATTTACAGAAAACACAACGCCACAATACAAGAACCTTGGCGACCAGATGAGAACCATCAACTGAGAAAAACTTGCGACAAGCTCGCCAAATGGCCATATATTTCGCGGGACGTTCGTCTGCCAATCTGGCTTGCGTGTTAACGACAAATTGTAGGGAANGTGTCGCATTGAATGGTCTTAAATCCTCTTCAGTTTTAAACGTTTTCACCGGGGCATTCCTTGTGAATGGCAGTGTACTATGAGATTGATCAGTGGTTAGAGCGCGAATTTACCGACCGGAGGGTCGGTGGTTCGCGCTCAAGCTCTGCTCCTCGATGGCTCCTGTCTAGACTTGAGAAACCTAGCGTTATCTAAGCCTTCGTGTTTCCGTCGGGTAGTATGGCAGCTAAGCACCAGAAGGGTTAAGCTGAAGGAGCGCTCAAGCTCTGCTCCTCGGTGGCTCCTGTCTAAACTTGAGAAACCTAGCGTTATCTAAGCCTTCGTGTTTCCGTCGGGTAGTATGGCAGCTAAGCACCAGAAGGGTTACAGCTGAAGGATTTTTTATGACGTCCACAATGAACTTATTGTTTTCAGACGGCGGAACCACTGACCTTATTCGGTCCTTCCATCACGATTGAGACAAAATCCAGGGGATCAGAGGCGGTGATGAGAGGCAATCTGTCGGGATGATTTTTGAAACTTAGTTATCACCTACTACCAATTTTAGAGAAGGTTGGAAGACAAAAATAACATTATTGTGCCCTTGGGAACAGAAAGGACAAATCTACACGCTGAAACGACGAGCTGAGCTATCGCGTCCTGGACGTTAGTGTTGCTGGCAAGTAACTACTACTAATATGCACCTGCCACCTTAGTAAGCGAGAAGGCAACTAGGGCTGCTAATGAGCTGAGCCAAAACTTCAAGAAAAGCAACGACCAACTGTTTGAGGTGCGAATCTCTCTATAGGGAACCTACAGAAGCATCTGTTGCATGCATTGAAGACTAGTCACGTACAGTTTACAAATTACGTAGATCGCAGGACAAAGTGCTTATGACTAATTGTGACTAGTGTTGAGATACCCGCCGACTAAAGCCCACATGCGAAAGGTTAGCAGAAGTCAACAGAGCAAAGGATCCGATCACTCGCGGAGGAAAAGGACGTCGACTGGAAGAGCATCAACCCCTGATACAACAAAGGCATGCGTCGAAGGACGTGGGATATGACACGAACAGAATTTCTTGGATGCCTCGGCTTTTCAGTGCTTGTTTAAAAGAACGGAACATTCAAATAGTAGCGGAATAAAAAAAGTATCGTCCAGTGTTCACACTGACACACACCTTCGCAATACAAAAGGATTTATATCAACCACTGGGCGTGAGGGTAAAGTAGGGAGGGAAGTTTGTGAGCCATCAGCTCAACATTGTGGGCAGCATATCCTTGGTTAACGAGCTCTCTGAAAAGAGTTGTCACTTTAGACGCAACCTTTTTTAAAGATGGTGCACTGAATGAGGTCACTTGAATTGATAAGGGTGCATTCGTTACTACTGAAATATGCTTCTGTCATGGCGAGCTCAGAAAGAATGATGCCACTGAGGTGGCAGAAAAAACGACTAATGATATGAACGATCTTGAATATGGACCCGGGTACATATAGTGCCAACTGAACGACAGTCGTTAAGCAGGACTCGAACCTACGACTTTTCGCTTATTACAAGTGTTTCTTTAACTAGAATACCTCGGACTGATCAACACCGTCCGTATTGTGCACTTTAGAGTCCCTTTCCCAAAGTAGGTCACAATGAGTAATTGTAGACTCGAAATAAAAATTTGAATTTTAAATGATAGACTACTGACAGTTGTCTTTCAAACAGAAGATGAAGGAGATACCATCGGAGGTCCAGATGAGTCTTTTGAACAGGTCAACACTAACCAAGCACTCCCCGCAACACGTTTCGGTCGTGGGTGAGGAAACAAGGGTCAACCGCAATATTCTGCGAGTCCCATGGGACTTGTATGAGTATATGAATGGTCTCCTAACGACAACTAAACTATCCAGTCGCCTTTCGATCCTTTTGATTACAGATGTGGCGCAAAACGAACCCTCACATATCGTCAAAAAAGCAATTTCGCGGCACTCGAAGTGCCACCTTGTCAAACGGATTACCGGGTCATGAAATTTGCAGATATTCTTCGCTTGCTGAAAGCTCAGTTTAAAGTAAAAAGTGATTCAGAAATCCAGACACAATAGGCAGTCAGATCGTTACTCACTTGGTGCGGATAGGGAAGTTGCTTGATCCTTGATTTCTCTTTTACGATTGGTCGACTTGTTGGACTTTTCCGGCTCCTTAATTTTAACGAAGCGGCCTGCGGAAAGGGGATTAATAACACATGAAGCCGTGAAGTGAAGCGAGCCTACTCATTCCCGAGCTATCGGGGCTTTTCATTAGCACAAAGGGAAAACAACTGCAGGTATAAATTAGCTGTCCGCACTGGAAAATGTTTGTCATACAAAGCTACGCAATCACACTATGTATAGTTCACTTATTTTGTAGCGAATAGACTGTTCCACAGAAGGATAAAACTGTCCGTGGACCTTCTTCTGACTATCAGACATGCAACCGTGAAATAGCAAAGAAGGTGGAGAAGACTAGCTGACAGCAGAACTCTTAAAAACAACGGCCTAACTCTAGAGAATGCACTTGTTCAGCGGAAAAAAAGAGGACTTTTCACTAGAATCCAATGATGCGTTGGCCGTGCCACACTACAACCTGTCAACTGAAGAAGCATCAGTCTGCTGAGCTGCCCGGACAAGGTTTTGGCACCAGTGCCAGTCAACCGCCTGATAACTGAAGTGGTCGGAACACACATCGCCGAAGGACGATGTGGATTTATTGTCGGTCACCACACAACTGACTTGAAATTTACTGCATGATACCCTCAATAATGATCGTACGATAATCGTCGGCTGCTCCATCCCATTTACACAGATACAAAAAAGACCTTGGACTTCGACTGTGGAAGAAAGACAGAAGGAACATTGCGATTGCTCGATAGCACGCACCTACATCTTCACACAGCTGAACTGGTGATGACCATTTTCGATTTTTATCTTGGTATACGGTTGGCTTCAGCCTTTTGAGTAGAATCCTCTGCAATGATTTGTGCCTTTTGTTACACTTGATAGTTGTTTGCACGCTTCGTTCGGACTTGAACTAATCAACTGCTTGCGACCGGTCTGTTATCTGAGCTAAACTGCCGAAAGAGATGGTAAAGTTGCTTTATGAAACAACTTGCGTTGACTAGCTGGCTCAAACTACGTGAACATATTCGAAAGGATGGGTTCCGTTGCAACCTGCCTGGAGCGTACGTTAACCGCACTATTGATCGGCAAACCGTTGCCCAAAGGGTAGTACTTAATTCCTGCACAGAAGGTTTCCGGTTGGAATATCTCTCGATGTGAAAGATAGCAACTACTGATGGGTCTCACTAACCAGAGCTCTTCCTTTCCCCCATCCAAAGTTGAAAATTTAGAATTTACCAGCTATTTTGTCCCAACAAATAGTCTAATCGCTTGACGAAAGCAGTTTCTGGTTAGCACACAGAATATTCCGATAAATTAACTTCAAACTACACGTGAGACCAGATCGAAAGCGGCAGTGCGACAATACAATGACATGTTGAATCGTCACCTGAAGAATTGAAAGCATTATAGCCCTGAGCAGCTCAATACCAATCAGGAGATCAATGTTTGGCATTCAGTATGGCACTAGGTTAATAGAGGTTCTCCAAAAGGTTGGAGTCAGAGCCTAACCATACGAAGCCGGTATCCTTCATTTTTCCATTACTTTGAATGGACCCCGAGGTCAGCTCTATTTGGCTAAGTTAATTGTTCACCTATTAGGATTGGTACGTGGCCCACATATGTGCAGGATGGTTAGACCTGACTTTGCTTACTGGTGCAAGCACCTCTAATGAACCTGACTGCTTGTGACAGCGATTACTTCCGAACGCGATCCTGATGGCATGATTGTATTGCAGTCAGATGCGAGCTATCTCATGTGGTCATTGCTGTCAGTGATACTGATGAATTAATCACCTCCCACGTACAAGTGTATGGAAATCAAGTTTCGACTGTTCGCCTAGTGGGGCGATCCCAGAGACGAATGGCTGATACAAACGTCTTGCATTCGAAGTGGAGCTCAAGGCATACATGAGGGTGGTGATAGGCAAAATGTTCTTTGTACTGGCAAACAACCAGAACACTGAAAGTTACGAACATATGGTACCCCTTCCCAGAAGATTGTCCATCCTCTCGGCCGGTCGAAATCATGCTCTGTTCGGGTGTCCCATCCCAGAGATTCATATGCTTTAAGTCGTATTTATACCCATACGACCAGTAATAAATTTTTTGGGAGAAAAACGTTAAGCTTTTCCACCAATTCACTAAAATGAGCCAACTACTGTTACCAAGGTAAGCTGCTTTTTAATTTCGTTTCCGAATAATACATACAATTCGTCTATAAAACATCCTTAGGCCTACCTACTACCCAAGGCTCATATTTCCGGGGACTTGGCAAGGAGGCTTATCAGTAGCTTCCACTGGTAGAGTTCTACATATTCATGTCCCGTTTAATTGAAGAAATGCACAATTTTACAGCTATCTCGTGGGACGCCGTTCCACAAGCTCACATGTGACCTCCGAGGGTTCAATCCAGTTCTGTCACCGCGAAACACGTCGGTGATAGATTGTAGTTTGAAAAGAAGTAACCACGAACTGTCCACCTCTGTTCACATGAGACAACTCCGCTGCCCGGGTAATTTCTAAGCCAACAATACTCTGAGGTGCATCTCTGTATTGCTTTGAGGACATCATTGGGGTCTAAGTTGACAGTTTCCAACAGTCTATCCGTCGCAATAATCCTCTCCAAGAATCTATCGGAATGTTTGCTAACAAGCAAAAAAAGGTTTCTGAGGAAGTCACCTCCACCAGTGTAGATACGATTTCGTGTACCTACAAGTGATTTTCCTCCTTAAAAACGGTTGTGAATTTGACAAGCTACCGTAAGTACAGGGAAAACCCCACGTTTAACGGGTCACATGATAATTCCGAACGACGTGAGCTGGGGAAGCTAACGCTTGAAGAGCTTCTAAACTATTCAAATTCGGTGTAAGTTAATCTGGCCAAAATGACCACCAATTCGAATTAGTAAGGATAATTTACTGCTCGTCAACTACCGAGCCTTGCCTCACAGCACCATGAACCGTTCAGCGTACCACTTTATTCGCGTTATTTGTTGTGTGACGGTTGCTTGTAGTGGCATGCTGATGTGCTAGTTACCGGCTCCAATAAATAGCGTATCCACTGTTGATGGGAACAAAGCACATAATATTTTTATTATATGCTTGGTTTGCTAGCTGACGGTTGTCCTTGAAGAGACAAATTAAGATACTGTAACAAGACAGGTGTCTGAAATGTGACTT